AATTACAAGAGAATATTACCAAATGTTAGACTAAGCAAGATGGGGGCAGGGTGGCTTCAACTGAACTGAAACACAATTATAATATGATTTATCAATTAAGAACACATAAACATGAGTTAGTTAATAATTAATAGTTATTAATTATTCCTAGAAAGAAACAATTTTAACACAAATCATTTGGTATCAATAAGGTATAATCAAGTTAACTTGAAACAAACAGAACCAAACAAAACTGATTTCAGTGAGCCATAAAACTTCTTATCTGTGGAATGTGGACATTAATGTCCTTGACAGAGCAGAAGAGCACCGTATCCATAACAACCTAGGGTCTAAACCAATCAGAAAACTAGCCTTCTCAAACTTTGATAAAAAACCAGAAACAACAGGGGGGCGAGAGCATTGCTTGGGAGAACTCATCTGATCAGGTTGGTTCAGTAAATGCTCCTGTATGCATACAGCGTTCTTTTGATTATATGTTCTCTGAATACTTGTAACCCTTTGTCAAATAAATCTTTTGAACTAAGGTGACCGTCTCAGCTGTCTTGAACACGATCTGGCACTAGCCACATCAACTCCTAAATGTGATTTTTTTTAACCACAATTTTTAACCTTTATTTATTCCAAAAAGTTCCAACACAAAACTCTAAAAATGTTAAGTCAGGTCCTCTAGATGTTCAAAAAACAAAAACAAAAAAATTGTAGAAACGTTTCGTCTTTCATCCAAAAGACTTCTTCAGTCTAAAGAGCTGAAGAAGTCTTTTTGGATGAAAGACGAAACTTTCTACTTTTTTTTTTTGGAACGTCCAGAGGACCTGATTAACATTTTTATACTTTTCTACCTGGATTATTGAGCGTGCATCAGGATATTCAAGACAAAACCTTTATTATTAACTTATTTTTAACCTTTTTTTTTTTTTTAAATAAAAAACAAGAATTACAGACACATTTTTAAGGCATTTATTTGTTTGGGCTGTTCCCTTCTAAATTCTAGTTTTTAAGCGTATTAAATAATCTTGAAATAATCTGAGCAGGCTATTTTTGGAAGCTTAATTTGGCTCATTTAAGTGCTAAACAATGAAAATCCTTGCAAATTTTATTAAAGTCATCCTCAGGTACCTTTTTTTTTTCTTCCAATACTGAAACTGAGTTAATGAGTTCAGAAAGTACTACAGCTCATTTTCAACAGCTTGTGAAGTAAACATATCTGACAAATATGTCGAACTAGATTTTTCATCTTTTTTTATTGAAGTGGAAACATTAGTTTGGTAATCCAATATTTTTCAGTCAGGTCATCTGGACAATTTCTTTTTTTTGTGCTGAAACGTTTCGCCTTAGATACAGAAGGCTTCATCAGTCAAGGAAACACACGACACAAAACTGATTCTTCCCCCAACAGCTTACACCAAAGTGGAACAAACCAGTTATGTTGGTGCTAAGATGGTGTCTTTGGCACGCCCCCTCCTCCATTGCTGGCCCTCTTCCTTGTTGACAGTCGTGTCAAACTGCTTGAAATTAAAGTCCATGCTCAATAATCCAGGTATACAATCCAATATTTTTCAGTCAGGTCATCTGGACAGTTTCTTTTCTTGTGCTGAAACGTTCTGCACGATCTGCTGCTCAGCCACAACCAAACCCCGCACGGGTTGTGAGCCACGTAGTGGGAGCAGAAAAAGGAAACCAAGTGCCAGAACAGGCATTGCTGCCTCCTTTTATACTCCGCCCACTTATCTAACAGGAAGTGACATTTCCCTAGCCGGGTATATTTCTATACTGCTCCACTAAGAATATAAATATTACAGTGATTGAGAAGTCTCAGCTCTTGTAAAAGTGAAAATAATGTTTCACAAAATCAGTATAAATGTTTGGCACCGTTTTATTTATGATCAAACCTATCTTCAAACATCAAATCCCAGCACTTGCATTTGTTGCATTTGTTTTTCCATATGAACAAAAATTTTACATAAATTTCTGGCCTCACACACACCAGTACATGACAACAATTACAAGCTTTACAGTACTTAAGAAACATATGGAGTCAGTAAGTACATGAAATTACAAACTATACATAAATGCATAATTAGAAATTATATCATAAGCAGCTTTCTATAATTTTATTTTACAAAACAAATGTATTTAAAAAGTATAATTAAGTTATCAAACTATTTAGTAAAGCCTACTCCTTCTTCCCTTTCTTCTTCCTATGCATCTGATGGCGTCCACCTCCTCTTCCTCCTCTGTTTCCATGAGCTCTTCGTTCTTCCCACAATGGCATAGGAGGCTCAATCTCTCCCGGCCGTCCTCCTCTGTCTGGTACGCACCCCATTAACGTCTAATGAGATCAATAACAATTAGAAATAAATAAAAATAGACATATTTGTTTATAAATACATGCTGAAGGTTGTACCTTGTAGACCGGGGTGCTCTTTCCAGCTTTGATTGGTTCAATGAAGGACTGATCTTCTCTGGCAGCCAGCAGATGAGACAAAGATATTTGGAAGCCTCCAGCAAGGGATACAAGAGGAGGCACCGAGGCCAATGCTGCTCTGCGCTCCTGTACATTAGAAAACAGCAAGGATGGTTTCATTCTAACATTAAGAAGCCTCTGTTCCAGGATGAGACCTCCTTCATTTTAATGAAGGCATCAGAACTGCTTTAAAACCTGAAAATTGTAATAAATAAATTTAAAAAATCAGCTGAAACAATTTTACCTGTCCGTGGAGTTAAACTCAGCTGAACACATAAGAGAGATTTTAAACTAATTGGTTAGGTAAAACCACTGCTCATTGCTGTAAAAACATTAAATAAGAATATATTTTCCAGCAATAAGGTGCTGTAATAAGCCTAATAAACCTCCACACAGTTGAAGCAGCTGACATTTACCTTTATGTGCTCACATCTGGATGCCTGAACAGCAGCTGACGCAGGTTATTCTGACACGTTCAGTGTAATGTTGGGTTGTAACCACAGGGTGGTGCTGCATCACATCATCTCTAACGTTAGCTCTGAAGCCAGAGTCCAGCTTCAGTTTGGAGCAACTTTAGCTTTAGCGTTTTACTGAAAAGCTGGGTGTTACAGTATCAGATGAAGAATAATTATATTCACCAGAATTTATTTGAATTTTTTATTTTATTTTACAATTAACTCTGCTGCTATGCTTCAGCTAAAGAATAAGCTCTTTTCCCAATTTCAAACGTAAGGATTTGCCTTAGCTTTGACATGGGCTGAATGAGTTTAACACAAGTACCTTTTGCTTTTCTCCCCACGCAAACGACTCGAGCGTGACCTGGAAGCGCTTGATCATCATCTGTCGCCGACACCCATAGTCCTCTAACATAATCCGGTTCAACTTTTTCACTTCCACCTAAGAGACACGAAGGGAAAACGTAAACGTTCACAACAGAAAGAGTTTTGAGTGCTGTAATCTGACGGGGGAACTTACCCACTGGTCTGAGCTGAGGCTGGTGGCGAGAAGAGGGTTCTTCATGTCTCCACCTGGTAGACGATCGATCCTCGACTTCACCTGAATTAAGAAGGTTAAACGTTTTAACTCTTAGTTCGTTAAGACGGTTTACACAGTATCTTCGTATGATGCTCACCTCAGTCTGCACATCTCCAAACTGAGAAGAGGCGTCCAAATGGAGTGAACGCAGCAGTAATATCCACTCTGCCTGCATCTCCGCCTTTTGTTTGTCCGACTCGTCAGCGTCGCCGCGTTCGTCCTCCCGACAAACCTCACAGCGCTGACCCTCCGCTCGCTGCTCCTTCACAGGCTCCTCTCCTGTCGAACTCTCCTCTGGGTGCAAACCTTTGTTCTTGATGACGTGAGCCGCGAGCAACTCTGACACAAGGAACTCTGTAGAAATGTTGCGACACGCTCACGATAAAGGTGCAAATCCAAACTATTGTGTTAAAACAACAACACGGTGATTCCACTTCTCACCTGTGATGTTGCGGAGGACGAGCGGTTCCAGCACATCAGAGCTCATAACAGTGAGTGGACAGAACATGTTTGACAGTAAGTTTCTCAGCTCTTCCACCAACAACACCGTACCCGAGACATCTGAGTATAAATATGAAGCACAAGGAAGACGTTGCTTAAAGGAAGGATTTCAAATGAAGTTGTTTTGTTGCTAAAATGAATGCAACAAATTATGGTAGTTAAGAAAATCATAAAATATAATGCATGTTCAAACTGAGCTGGAATAAGTTTTCATGCTTTGTCCACAAAATGCAGATATTGCTGTCTGTTAATTAAAAAAAAGGTGCAAAAATGAAAAAGAAGCTCGAGTGTCACTGTGGTACTCATGTGGAGGTGACTGAAGATAAATTTTGCAGGATGCAACTCGAGTCAAACTGATTTCTGTAGGTGAGAGGGGACAAAAAGTTCACTACCATTACCTCCAAATTTTAAACTGTTAAAAATAATTTGTATACAAGAAATTGGTATGAAATTCTTGTTTAAAAAATGTACTTTATACAGGAAAGCACGTGCTACATTTTATTACAACTGTGATCCAACCAAAAACCCAAGAACTCCTCCTGCACACCGTTTCGTTTACTGTAGATTTGATTACATTTTCAAACCTTTATAAGTCTAAAATATTTGTCAGAGAATTCAAATATTATTGACATGAACAGATTCTAACACAACTTTACTTTTGCATATAGAAGTACAGCTAAAAAAAACCCAACTCATTTATTTCTAGATTCATTACACAGAGAGTGAAATATTTCAAGGCTTTCCAACAAAGTTAAGTCAGGTCCTCTGGACGGTTTCTTTGTGTTGAAACATTTCATCTTTCATCCAAAGGACTTCATCAGTCCAAGAAGCCACAACAAACTCAGTCCCATAAGTAGCACACTCACATAGTGGACCACAGAAACTGTCCAGTGGACCTGACTTAACTTTCTTAGATTTTTATACCTGGATCATTGAGCATGAACTTTGATATTTCAAGCCTTTACTTTTGGTAATTTTGATGATTATGGCTTACAGATAATGAAAAAACAAAATTCAGTGTCTCAGAAAATTAGAATATTGTGATAAAAGTTCCATATTGGAAACTCATGCACACTGTGTACTTACAGTATGTAGACGAATCCTAGACATGAGCTACAATTGTCTCATTCCTCAAGTGAAGTCACTCCTGAACCAGAGACAACGTCAGAAGTGTCTTTTTTTTTTCTCCATTCAACCTTTATTTATACAGGTTAATCCCACTGAGCCTCATTTACTCATTTCTATTTAAAAAATGTACTCATTGTCTTCAGAGTCAGGGTGTATTTGTCGTACACACCACATATTGTACATGTGGTGGAACGAAATTGTGTACACAGGGTCCCAGATACATCCAACAAAAGTATAAAATGTAAAAGAAAAACAGTAATAAGATCTAAGATATGAACTAAGAAAAATGTTAAACTAAAAATACACTAAGCACTAATAGCATAAAAACAATATGCTGAGCATGAGGCTGTGTGAGCAGATGAGTACGAATGAACACAGCATGAAACAGATCAGCAAAATGATTTTTTTTTCCCCACACAGTGATTATTATGGTTAGAGATTCATGAGTCTAACAGCCTCAGGGTAGAAGCTGTTCCTAAGTCTAGTGGTTCTACACTTAATGCTCCTCAACCTCCTGCTTGAAGGGAGCAGGGCAAAAAGTGTGCGTACTGGATGAGTGGGGTCCTTCATGATGCAGGTGGCCCTCTTCCTACATCTGGAGGTGTAGATGTTTGTGATGATGAGGAGACTGACTCCAATAGACTTCTGTGCAGCCTTCACCACTCTCTGCAAAGCTTTTCTTTCTTACCTGGCTGAGGAGAAAAAGAACTGGTCTGTTGCTCAGTGGTCCAATGTCTTCTTTTCAAATTAAAGTAAAGTTAGCATTTCCTTTGGAAACCAAGGTCCCAGTCTGGAGGAAGTGTGGAGAGGCCCAGAATCCACGTTGCTTGAAGTCCAGTGTGGTTTCCACAGTCAGTGATGGTTTGTCATCTGCTACTGTTGGTCCACTGGGTTTTCTGAAGGTCCCCAGGTAAGAAGCTTCTGACTTTGTCTCTGGTTCAGGCAGTTACTTTACGATGTAAACGCCAGAATGTGACATTGTAACCGCACAGCTGTGGTCTGTCTCACCTTGAAGCTCCGGACACAGAGCCCTGAGCTCCGCCGACAGCCAGGTGAGCAGCGGACAGGGGAGCTCATCACAGCCGCAGCGCGAGAGGCACGAGCCGCCCGGGTACCTGGACAGGAAGTGGACACGACAGGTGAATTCTTTTATTTTTCTCACTCATTCAACCTTTATTTATACAGGTTAATCCCATTGTGCCTCGGGGGCTCATTTACAAGAAATACCTTATTTTAACAAAGAATGATGACAAGTACGTCAACACAAAGTGTGGAACTCACGAGGCGAAGTTACGACTAGTTTAAAATTAAGTACGTAATTTAACACGAGTTGTCGAAACAACAACGCAAGACAAGTCGCTACGCAGCAAAATAGACGAAAAAATATGAATATTATTTACCCCAGAGCTTTAATAGCTGAAATTGTCCCCAAACTCGTCTCCATTGACATCATTTCATGTACACAAGCGTCTATAAACAGGAAAAGTTCTGGTTTGTTTACAGTCTGCTTCCTGTTTAACAGGTTGTGTGGACACGTGTCGCCCTCTGCTGGTCGGAGTGCGCACATACCGGCCATCCGCAATGAAACAGGAACATTTCAGGTAAATAACTTAAAAAAGCTAAACTATTTGAGAAATAATGTGATAAAATAAATACTACGAATTTTGTTAGATGCTTTCACACCTAAACAAAACAGACTTTACACAATGCACACCATCATGATGTAAATGAATCCTCGTCGTGACTCAGTGAGACTAACCTGCATAAATAAAGGTTGACTGAACAAGTAAAACACATTTTAAACCAATGACAAGCTGACTAATTGTGATTTATTTTTATTATGAATCCATTTTGCAGCGCAAAGAACATTTTGTTTGTAGAGCAAAACATTTTTCTGGAATAATTAGTTTTTGATTTTTTTCTAATACTAAAAAATATAGAAACATAAACTCATAATTTATAACAAAAAAAATTGTTTTAGGCAAACCTGAAGTTGTGTATACGATTAAACAATGGGTTTTTTTTTAATTAGCTTGTCAGTAGAGGACTGTGATTGGTTTAAATAGACTAATTTAAACATATTTCATTGCAGATGTTTACTTACTGAAGTTACTTGCAGTGTTGAAAGTTGTAAAACGGAGTCAATTTAAGCTGATTTAGTCGAGTCTTTCAATGTTTTGCTTAATATTAGTTTTAAACTACTGCATTTAACATATACAGTATTTAAAATATATATATATATATTGCCTTCAATTTGATTTTATTAGCTTTTGAAACATGGGAGGATTTCCAAAACAAATTATAAATGTATTTTTAGACAAGTAGTTTAAAACTGCTATAATCATTTCTCTTTATCTAACATTAAAATACTAATCCAATACCATAAACTACTACATACACCAATTTTAGGAGCTACTCAACATTATAAAGCTGTGCTTGGCCAGGTCACCCATGTGAAAGAGGTCTTGATCTCAATGGGTTTTTATCTGGTTAAATAAAGGTTTAATAAAAATAATAAAAAAGTTTATTTTATTACCTAAATGAGTACTTTGCAAATCCACTTCTTGTTTTAATAATCTGTGCAGTGGCAGACACTGTTCATGTGACAATGTATGCAAAATAGGAGTCAAACATATATGCATATCATGCTGTGAAACAGATTATTAAATTTGATCAGTGTAATGAAATTAAAAATTATACTGAAAAAAACAAGTCTTACAGCTGAACGTGAACTCTGAATGTTTTTATTGGACCTGACTGTGGGATTAATAATTCATTACCATCTCTCTGATCAGCTCTGAACATATCCATATGCCAATAAATCTGCGTTTTTGTAACTCATCATCATTATATCTGTTACTGATGCAGCTAATTATTCAGTAACTAATGTAAATACTGATGGGTGTCAAATGATGCAAGATGCATAGAGGATTTGATGATTGCCAGTTCTTTTTGAATCTAGATCATTTCCTCTTTTCCTGCAGCTGATCACATGAAAAACACTTTTCATCATAAGTGAGATGGCGTTAAAGTGGAGAGTTGTAATTGTAGTCCAAATTTATATTGAGACTTGAAGTTTGATGAGACACCTCCATCCTCTCTTGCTCACATGTGTGAACTCAAGTGCTTTGAGCTCTGTAGTCCTTCACAGCAGGTGATCAGTGGTGTCACACAATGAGGACAATGGCAGCGAGGCGTGCTAAGCTCTGACGTACAGCGCTTCATGTTTGCTGGTTTGTGCTGCCATATGTACAGAAACTGACTACAAAGCCTCGCCATGCGTCAGGATGCTCCGTCTCTTATTCCCCAGACTATGCTGCCAGCTCCATGAAACCTTGTGGTGGGTGACCTTTAACCTCTGGAGAGCGTCTGGACAAAGCAGGCACACTCCTCCTCTGTGGCAGTCAAACACTTTCCACAGCAGACTAGCTGACAAAAAACAAAATAACACAGTAATTGTTCTAATATTACTGAGAATGGATAATACAAAGTTAAGAAATAAAGCGACCAAAGGCATTTAAAATATGTAATAAGTTAACTTCTAACTATGAATGGCTAAACCTTTTTTTAAGTTAATAATGTTGAAAAAAAAAACAAGATCTGAAACTCCAGTTTGACTCCGCTGGGACATTTTAAATATATTTGAAAGAAAACTGAGAATACCTGTTCTTGGTTTTAGGCTTTGTTAAACTCTGCTCCTTTGTAACCATCAAGATGTTTTATGGCAGTCACATGGTTTATTATGTAAGTAATTGTATGTGTCTGTGATACAGGTTGTAAATGAGGTTACCTCAGTGGTGTAGTCTATGTGATATGTGGGTATATAGAGTACACCCACTAGAAAAACGGGAATTTCAGTATACCCACTTAAAGTGCCCAATGATACGAGCCCATGTCGTGTATCATTGGCAATCATGAATGGGCTTTTATCATTGCCAACACATTTGGAACATTTTGTAGACAAATTGAGTTGGTTCAGCCTGTTTTTTGTATAATTAATACTTCTGTACTTACTACTTGAACATGTTTTGCTTTGATAATGTTTTATAAATTCTATGTTTTTAATACAAAGCCAACAGTTGTGCAAAGTTTGTTGTACATTTATTCAAATGAAAGCATCAGAGAAATTTTGAAATGTGCAATATGCTTAAAAATCAAAATAAATGAACCATTACTTTGTTCTAACTGGTGTACTTTGGTTTATAAGCACATACCCACTACAAAAATGTAGACTACACCACTGGGTTACCTGTCTAAATAAAAGTAAATAAATAAAAATAAACTTACGATGCATAGAAATACATTTTATATGTTCAGTGTTCATTTATTCAGAAATTAATTTCCTCCGTTAATTATTTTTATTTGTGTTGTCCACTAGCTCAGAAAGGCGCTACCGGGGCTGCAGCGCCCCCTCGTGGTGACTGACGAATATGGCAACAAAAACTTTAAAAGTAAAAATACAAAACAAAACTCGTTTATGCTAAAAATTTCGCAAGCATTAGCCTATTAAAAGGTTAGCTAAAAGCTAGAAGTAGCAGACAGAGACAAAAGCAGAATGCTGAAGCAGATTTCAAAGAGAAAAATGGTTTTAAAAGAACTGAATAGATTCAATATGTTTCGTAATTATATTGAAAAGTTCAAGTTACAAAAACAAAAGCCATAACTTTCCTGAATGAGCTGATAAAATAGCAGTCTGCAGAAGTATTTAGAGTAAAACAACAACAACAGGGTTTAGACAAAAATAAAACATATAAAAACACCCGGATGTCTGCTCTTGTCTTCATGAAGCATCATTCTCATCGCACATTTCCGTGGAGACTTCCTGCAGCTCCTGTGGGTCCACTGTGGTGGGAAACAAACCGGCAGAAAACAGAAACAACGTGTTGTATCGCAGCTGGTCTCAGGTGTAATCTGTGGAACGTTTCCGGGATGACGCAGCGCTCATCCCCGGATGAGGACAGGTGCGCCACACTGCAGGTTGTCTCTCAGGTGATTGAAGTCAACTCCCACTCAGAGACAAAACTATGGAGACAGAGAGGGAGGGTTCAGCCTGCTTACAGGGACAGTTGGACTCTCGTCCTCATTCTGACCCGCTCGGGTGTCATGGAAGGACGCGCGTAAATGGCGCGTCTGTGCGTCTCCGTCCTAACTCGTCTCGGTTAGTTATTATCAGAAATGGATCGTCTGCACGAGTGGAGCTTCAAGTCCAAGAGCATGGGCTTGGAGGAGGACTTCTACTTCTACGGAGCGGAGGAAATGACAGATTACCAGGACCCCTCTGAACTCCTGGCTGCTCTCAAACAAAAGGAGGAAGAGGTTATTTTGGCAGCGCAGCTGGGAAACGCGCTGCTCCTGGAAAACCGTCAGCTTAAGGAGCAGAGCGACAAGATCCACGAGCAGTACGCAGACAGGCTGGAGGTAAGAAACAAGCTGCTAACATCTAAAAACCAAGACCGGAGCAAGTTGACTGTGTGAAAGAAGAGGGCACGTTTAGGAGAACGTCCCGTTTGTGTTGGAGCTGGGCGGTGATGGGAAAACAACTTTTTAAACATGGGCTTTGTTGGTTTTAAACAGGATGTTGGACCGAGGGATGTTCTATGAGGAGGTTAAAAACGATATAAATAATGTAATAAATGACCACGAACCGGTCCGATCAGGCGGTTTAAGTTTATTTCAGCACAAGACAAAATTATATTTGTTAAATGTCCAAATGATGCTTCAGTTCTCAGGAATTTTTAAAGCATCTAAAGAATTAGAATGTCATGAAGAACGAATAAATCATTTCAGAAAGTGAAACTCATCAAGCCATCCTTCCATTCATTATCTTAACCCACTTCCTTTTTGTGTCACTGGTGGTTCCCATGTCCAACCATCACTGTGTAAGATGCGAGGGACATCCTGGACAGGTCTCCCTGTCCATCACAGGGACACATGGAGACAACCATTCACTCTCTCACTCATAGGGACAATTTAGAGTCACCAATCAGTCTAACATGCATGTTTTTGGTCTGTGGGAGAAAACCAGAGGAGAAAACCCACGTATGCACGGAGAGAACATGCAAACTCCACCCAGACAGTCTGGGATTTGATCCTGCGACCTTCTCACTGAGAGGCAACATCTCGATTCTACCAGCAGTCACATGTTGAAGCGTCCCTGGGCAAGACTCTGAACCCCTCACTTCCTCTGATGTGTGTCCCATCGGTGTATGAATGTGAAAAAGCTCTGATTAGTCTCTACAGAGTCAGATTAGATTTGTGGAGCTGTAGTAGAGTGCTGCATGAATGTGTGTGGAGGTCAATGAGGACACAGATTGTGTTGTAAAGAGCTTTGAGTATCTTGATTAGATAGAAAGTGCTACATAAGTACAGTCTGTTTACTATTCAAGTCAAACCGCTCCTGAACCAGAGACGACGTGAGAAGCATCTCACCTGGCTGAGGAGAAGAACTGTCCACAGTCAGCGCAGCATCTACCAGGACATTTTAGAGACTTCATGCTTCCTTCTGCTAACGAGCTTTATGGAGATTCTGGTTTAATTTTCCAGCAGGACTTGGCTCCTGCCCGCACTGACAAAAGTACCAAAACCTGGCAATGTAATATTCAAATTTTCTGAGACACTGACATATATATATTTTTTCATTATCTATAAGACAGTATCATGAAAATTACAAGAAATGAAGGCTTGAATTATTGCGCAATCAATCTGTGTAATACGAGTTTCACTTTCTGAAGTGACCAACAAAAAAACTGGGAACTTTTTCACGATGTTCTATTTTTATAGATGCACCTGTATGAAATGAGGCAAAACATAAAGAGTTGCTAATATTGTGCAGTTTAGCACAATAGTTCCCAAAGTTAGGGTCGGGAGATGTTTTCTAGAATCAAAATTTAATTAAAAAAAACATCACAACATTTATTCGTCTCTTAGATGTTAAAACAGGTAAAACCATATTAAAAGCCAATAATACTGTAGCTGTGGTGATTCTGTGCTTGTTTATTTGCTTTACTTATCCACAGACTTCAAAGACAATCAGGGTCTCAAAATTTCTGTTGTAGCCTTGAAGCAGCAAAACCATAAACTACAAACCAGATTACTGCACTATTTATTTATTTATTATTATTTCTTAACCTTTATTTAACCAGGCAAATCCCACTGAGATCACAGATCTCTTTTGCAATGGAGGCCTGGGCCTGAAGGCAGCCTAACATGCATGCTTTCCATCTGTGGGAGGAAACCGGCGTACCCGGAGAAAACCCACGCAAGCACGAGAAGAACATGCAAACTCCACACAGAAAGACCCCAGGTCCAATTGGGGATTGAACCCAGGATTGTCTTGCTGTGAGGCAACAGTGCTAACCACTGAGCCACTGTGCTGCCATTTATGTATGACTATTATTTAAAAATGCAAACCGTTAGTGCTCACTTTGAGCCCCACGTTAAAAACCTGCAGCTTCTAGTTTTGTTGACTGCAGAAGCATTTTTCTCCAGCTGGTGTCAAAACAAAAATGTTTTTTGTTGTTGTTGTTGTTGTTTTTAAGTCCATCCCGGTCTAGACCTGCGGGACACATTTTTCTGGTGAAACTCCAGCATTTACTGGAGATGTTTCTCTGAACTGGGTGTTCAGATGAAGAGAATTGTTCATGTAGTACACAACCAAACCGCATGAGCGGCTGTGGCCAACTAAATAACAAACCGTGTGGAATCAGACTTTCTCTTCAGATAATCACTGCTGATTGAATGTGATCTGTTTTGAGAGTCACGTAAACTGTGATAAGACGAATACGCCTGAGGACTGTCTGGTTTTGGTGCAGATTAGGGATGCACAATGTTAGGAAATCATGCAATTGTGTTTTATTATTGTGATGATGAAGTCACACTTTCCCCTCTCCTCCTCTCTGCTGTCATCACTGCGCTAGCGTTTCAGCTAAATGCCTCTAAACCAGCGGTGAGCTTTTAGGACTGTGGGGATCTATCTAAATGCCAAATAAATCACTGGCGTTCTGCGTAGGTCTGTGATTTATTGCAGAATCAATATTGTAGACTCAGATATTGATGGTGACACATTTTCAATATAATGTACAGCCCAGGTGCAGAGTTCTGCTGTAACTGGACCAGAACAAGTACAGATCATCTTTCCTAACAGAGAGGATCAGGACAGATTTTGTGTGAAAGAAGCTTAAAGTGAAACAAGAATGGTGGATAAGATGTTTACTGTTACAGCTAACAAAGTTAATTCAGGTCCTCTGGACAGAAGCAAAAAGTAAAAAAAAAATAAAAATTGTTTAAACGTTTCATCTATTATCCAAAAGACTTTGTCAGTCCGAGGAGCTATAATAAACTCAGGCTCCATTTACACGGACACGTGGGGGAAAACGTAGTTTTTTTCTTATGTTAATTACAGGAAAAGATCCGCGTTGACACGGACAGATTTAGTGTTTACTTGCATCCGGAGGAATCTCACCACTGTCTTGTAAACTTTTCTTTGACCTTTGCTGACACCTTTTTGTCACAAATCGCTCCTGAAACTTTTCTCCATCCACTCCATCCTGCCTGGACTCTCTTCTTGACCCCTTTACTACACTCCCCATTTTCCTGGACAGTGGACCCCAAGTGCTTGAAGTCCTCCACCTTTGTGACATCTGCTCTCTCAAACCATCGTTCCTCTCTGTCCAGGATGTGAACATCTTCATCCCTGAAAGAGTGACCGCTGGCCTGGAGATGAGTGTAGACCGCAGAGTCCTGGCCTGATGATGTTGATCTTCTGTGCTGGGCCATCCTTTTGGCCAGTGGCTGTTTAGTTTCCCCGATGTAAGACTGATCACAGCCCTCCTGACACTGAACAGCATACACAACATTACTCTGTTTATGCCGGGGGACTGGATCTTTGGGATGAACCAGTCTTTGCCGTAATGTATTTTGGGGTTTAAAAGCCACTGGGACGTTATGTTTAGAAAATAAACGTCTCAGTTTCTCTGATACTCCCTCAACATACGGAATGACCACTGGTCTGGGTTCCTCCTTTTCACCTGTTGGCTGACTGGAGTCCTGTTTGGGTTTCTTCTCTGCTTTCAGGAAGGCCCAGTTAGGATATCCACATTGCTCTAGAGCCTGTCTTATGTGGGATTTCTCCTTCTGCCTGGCTCCTGAGCTAGTGGGGACGCTGTCTGCTCTGTGGTACAGAGTCCTGATGACTCCTAACTTGTGCTCCAAAGGGTGATGGGAGTCAAACTGCAAATACTGGTCTGTGTGGGTGGGTTTGCGGTACACCTCGGTTTGCAAATGTCCTCTATCAGAGACAGAGACCTCACAGTCCAAGAAAGCCAACCTGCCATTTTTTTCATCTTCTCGTGTGAACTTGATGTATTTATCCACAGAGTTGATGTGGTCAGTAAAATGTTGGACTTCCTGAGATTTGATTTTAACCCAGGTGTCGTCAACATACCTGAACCAATGACTTGGTGGTGTCCCTGAAAAGGACGTCAAGGCTCTCTTTTCTACCTCCTCCATGTACAGGTTGGCAACAATAGGAGAAACTGGAGACCCCATAGCACACCCATGTTTCTGCCTATAATATTGCTCCCCATATGTGAAGTAGGTTGACTGCAGGCACAGTTTCAAGAGTTGACACAGTTGTTCTGT